CACCAACTCGACCAACTCCAACGCGACGATCCCAGCAATGACTCTTTCATATGTAAAGTTATCGGCGCTGAGCTGTGTGCTTGTCGGCGGCCTCGTCGTGTCGGTGGCGGCGGCGATTGGGGCGGGTGTTTTCGCGTGGCACTTGTATCGCAAGGGGCGACCGTCGTTGCCTGCGGTACCGGAGCGCTTCCGCTGGTGCACCCTTGTCCGTGCGCCGTCGCTTCGAGGCGAGTTTGCAACGACGGACGACTGGGTCGACAACTGGGCGACGTCTCAAAGCACGATTAGCAGCCACGAGGACGCACCCGGAAGCGGGTACGAAACGCTGCAGCTGTCGCCGTCGAGCAGTTCCAAGATGCTTTCGTCGCGCGCCTCGACGACGGACGACGTGGGCTCGTACCGTACGAGTAGCTTGATCGCTTTGTAAAAAAGTGCGAAGACTATCGAATCCATTTAACACAGCCACTTTGATGCCTGGGAGTCGTCTAGAGTGCAAAATACTTTGAACACGCAGCAGTCGTAGATGTTGTCCTGCAGTGGCGGGCCGGGGAAGCTGTAGCCGCCACCCTCCTTCAGCAAGACATTGAGGTGTGAGTTGAAGAAGTGGCTGGCTGCCCGGAATGCCAAGCGTCATGGACGCGATCGCTTCGCGCTCCTTGAGCAGACAAAAGTAAAGTTGATGATCAACGCGCCGCCACGTGTAGGGGCGGAGACGGTTCTGAATGAGTTGACCCGCGATCACAAAGCCAAACTTGCGGCAGAACACTTCGTTGCCAGAACGGTCCGAGAGCGCATACTCGATGACCGTCTCGCCACTCATGTCGCCAACGAGCGGGGTGCCTACAGTCGCATGACGACGACACTGTTCAGCCAGTGCGTCGGAGCGCACGTCGATCGAGGTCATGAGCATGAGCATCGCCATGACGCAGAGAATGGGTATCACTCGCGCCCTAGACGTTTCCCATGTGAGCCACCGACATCCATGGTCATGCATCTACGGCAGATGGTCTGGACGTGTAGGCTGCTCGGCAAATTCGAAAATGAAATACGCGCGCGATCTTCCGGCGGTTATCCGAACGCTGGTTTCGCCCTGCCAATCTCCAACCGCTCGTCTTTTTATAGACAGAAACTCGGCATGCGCCTTTCGTAGCAACGACGAGTTGTGCCTCAGGACCACATCTGCAACAACCATCAAAGTAATGCATCGGTGTCTACATGGGTTGCGGCGGCGGCGGGCTGCAAAGGACTTTGCCCTACAAAAAACGCGCTCAGGAACATCAATATACACACGGGCCTCTTTATGAATCAAAAATGTTGGAGGCAGCGACCACCGCTTCGACGCGCGCGAGCAAGTTCTCGGTCGCCACGTCCGTCGTGGCGCGGGGCGGAATGAGCTGCTGCAACGTGGCCGCATACTTTTTGTCGGCCGAGGCAACGTTGGCAATCTACAACCGCATCCATACATGGGCTTGATAGTGAACGACGAGGCGACCTCCGAGCGCAGTCAAAGTCGCCGCGCTGCAAACTGTGGTCGTGGTCTTTTGTCGAGTCTTGATGACGCGCGTCGTTGCGGGGATCTTGGCCGGGATATCGTCGTCTTTCTATGAGCATTCTTGGGGCTTGAAAGGAGGCAAGTGCAGCAACGCCTCGCTCCGCCGCACGAGCAGGTACAGTAGGTACTCGGTCGTAGCATGCATCCCAAAGCTCGGATTGGTCCACAATATCACCATGACTAGGCATCGCACACGCCGCTGCGTTGCGCAAACGTCGCATGGAGCGAATTTATAGTAATATTGATGCAGCACTTAATAGATCAGCTATGAGGCTGTTCTCTATTGTCAACTATCGCATTGGGTTTGCGTCTCCACAAGTCAAAACCACGGCTGCATCTTTGCAAGACGACGCACTCGTCCAATAGGTAGTCCCGCCAGTGGTAACATTAACGTTACAGAGAGGCGTGACTTCGACAAGGTAGTGCACCGTGTTGGAAAAGGCTACAGATCGCGAGCGATGCTGTAGCTGACAGAGCTAGCGTCCACAGACTCCATCGTAGCGATGCACACGCTCCATCACTAAAGTTGTGATGAAGCGAGCACTGCTCGAGCTACCCCGAGTCAACTCTCTGCGGATCGTACCTCGCGCTTCGTGGCCTTTCATGGCCGTGGGTTTAGCTCACGATGTTTTGTAATCGACTTTGCTGCAGAGACCCTAAAACCGTAATGCATGGCTACGCCTCAAGATAGGGCTAGGGTACGACTAGGTTTAAACCAGAACTTTCTTTAAGCATTACAGACAAGTACTGTGACACAGTATCGAAGTGATAGTACATTAGCCTTGCGGTCAACTGACTACTGACGAAGACGCTTGGGGTACGATGTGCCTGGGCACTGGATCGTGGTCGTGCACAGCGGCGCTTTGGCTTGCGCATTCGCAAAGAGCGAAAACTCGAGGCGCGTCGGTGGCGCTGGCACACTGAGGTCCTTGCGCACCGACGTCGTGTTGGAGTACGTCACGTTGAAGAAGAAGTCCTTGAGGAAGTAGTCCTTGGTCGCCTTTTCGTTGCCGTAGTCGTTGCCGTTGTCGTAGCCATTGTTGCTGCCATACCCGCTGTCGCCCGAGTCGTAGTCGTTGTAGATGCCGCCTTCCAAGTCATAGCCGTTGCCCGAGCCGTAGCCGCCGCTGTCCGAGCCGTAAGCAGCGCCTTCGGCTTCAGAGCCGTAAGCAGCACCATCCGGGCCGTAGCGATCGTTGCCGCTTTCTTTGCCGTTTGTAGGCTCCGCCATCAGAGG